GCCCAAATGACCTGTCCACTCAGGACTCTTAAGAAGAGCCTCAGGCCCAAGGAAGCATCCAGAAGGAACCCGCTGAGTTAACATCCAATGGATGCAGACCTCTGTAAGAGACTGTTACCTAAGCAAAAGGGATTCCTCCTCCGATTTGCTGTAGAGAATGGAATCAGACCTCACCCTATCCTTTGTACTTGGTGACCGGTAGACCATCAAGCTAACCAAAGGTGCATGGCCACACTTGGTGCCAGGAAAGAGGAGCTGAACATGCCCATCTTCTGTCCCCAATGCTATGAAACTAAAACACCAAACGCCAAGCAGAGAGGCATGCATGGAGAAAGCGTGCTGGGAACAGCCTCCACTTGCCATTGCTTTATTGTCATGGATAAAGTAGTCGCAGAGGTTGGAGGGATGCCCCAAAACACCATTAGGCATCTTCACACTTTTTCTCCATCACAGTGAATTCACCATTCCAGGGAAGTGCTCCTACCAAAAAGCTGCAGCTTAATTTCTGAAAAAGATGACAACAACAAAAATCAGTAGAGCACCTAAAGAAATAGAAAAATTGTCCTGTTGCTAGGTGCGAGTTTAGGAGTATGCCCAGAGATGGGTCGCCACCCTCCAGGGATGCTCCCAGGAATCTGCAGAGCTGGAGGCTGCGGATTTCACAGCCATCAGCAGTTGCCCAGAGGGATCCCTGTTCTAATTAACCACAGGTAGACAGGAAACATTAATTATCATAATGTTATGGTGGCGGTTCAGATGTGAACTTGACATTATATTCAATTCTCTTTAATACTTTCTACAATGTAAATAAGACAATTCGAATTGGTAACTAAAGGGCGTTATTTTAATGATTAAATAATCCATTTTATTTTATTTTATTTTTGAGACAGAATCTCACTCTGTCACCCAGGCTGCAGTGCAGTAGCGCGATCTTGGCTCACTGCAACCTCTATCTCCCGGGTTCAAGTGATTCTCCTGCCTCAGCCTCCTGAGTAGCTGGGATTACAGGCACCCACCACCTATGCCAGGCTCACTTTTGTATTTTTAGCAGAGACAGGGTTTCATTACATTGGTCAAGCTGATCTTGAACTCCTGACCTCATGATCTACCCACCTTGGCCTCCCAAAGTGCTGGGATTACAGGCGTGAGCCACTGTGCCCGGCCTAAATAATTTATTTTAATGTTGGCAAGGTTGTGGACAAAAGGGTATGCTTATACACTGCTGGTGGGAGTGTGAATTAGTGCAGCCATTATGAAAAGCAGTGTGGTGATTCCTCAAAGAATTAAAACAGAATTACCATTCAACCCAGGAATCCCATTATTGGCGACCTACCCTAAGGAATACAAATTGTTCTACCATGAAGACACATGCACATGTATGTTCACTGCATAGCTATTCACAGTAGCAAAGACATTGAGTCAGCCTAAGGCCTGTTGATGGTGGACTGGATTAAAATAATGTGGTACATATAAACCATGGAATGCTACACTGTCATAAAAAAGAATGAAATCATGTCCTTTGGAGTAACATGGAGCTTCAGGTCATTATCCTAAGCAAACTAATGCAGGAACAGAAAACCAAATACTACATGTTCTCACTTAAAAGGGGGAGCTAAACAACGAGAACACACAGACAGAAAGAGAGGAACGACAGGCCCTGGGGGCTCCTGGAGAATGGAGGGCCGGGGAAGGACAGGATCAGAAAAAGTACCGTATCGAGTACTCTGCTTACTACCTCGGTGATGGAACAACCTGTACACCAAACCCCTGTGACACGAATTTACTTATAAAATAAACCTGCATGTGTACCCCCGAACCCCAAATAAAAATCTTTTTTAAATCCCTTTTGTTCTAATAACAAGTCAAGAGCAATTTAGAAAATTCTAGGGCCTAACATATCTTTTCTTCCAAAGAACTTTGCTTTTCTTTCAAAACGTCAAAATATTGAAACAACAAATAAAATACCCTATGTGTGAGGGACAGGTTAATGGATGGATGGATGGATGAGTAGATGGATGGGTAGAGAGAGAGAGTGGTCCTGGACAAAGTGCAAAGGCCATCTCAAATAGACTGAAATCCCTGGGGACTTCCAGGAGTTAAGAGACAGACAAAGTCAGAAAGAAGACAGTTTAGTTCCTGCTGAGTATTGAAAATATTCAACAAATAATACCAGGTACCAAATCAAGATTATTTTATAGGCAAATCACATCAAATTTGGGGACCTAAAAGCATCTGCGGACTTCAGACTGATGCAGAACACAGAAGATAATGAAAAACCCTCAGTCTCATTGTACTAGACCAGCAAAATCCTGAAACTCAGATGTAACTGAGAAATTATAACCCAAACTTACCTAGTAAATAGCAAAAATCCTGAACAAAAACTAGCAAATGAAAATCGGTTGCTTATTAAACCATTACGGTCCCTAATGTAGTACTTTCCAGACTTTTTCCGTCATATAACATATGTGGGTGTTTGAAGTGGGAAATTCTGATTGAGTAGATTAGGGATGAGTGCATGGAACTTGTATGTGTGTATACAAGTATGTACATGCATGCATGTGTGTGTATATGTAGATGTGTATATGTGTAGATGTGTGTATGTTTACCCCATACTCCAAGAGATTCTTAATATCAGAAGAGTTTGAGAGTAGCTAATACATACAAAAGCAAAATTGCTGTCAAGAGCAGTGGCTCAGGCCTGTAATTCCAACACTTTGGGAGGCCAAGGCAGGAGGATCACTTGAGGCCAGGAGTTTGAAACCAGCCTGAGCAACATAGTGAGACCTTGTCTCTACTAAAAATAAAATAATTAGCCTGGCCTGGTGGTACGTGCCTATGTTCCCAGCTACTTAAGAGAAGGAGGTGGAAAGATTGCGTGAGCCCAAGAGTTTGAGGTTGCAGTAAACTATAATGGCATCACTGCACTCCGCTGAGGGCAACAGAGCAAGACCCTATCGCAACAAAATAAATAAATAAATGCAAAATTTCTAAATTAAAAAATGGCATATTGAACCCAACTATGTTCTAAACAAGCGCAGACTGAATCCTTCACATTCTTATTCTGCAGTCTGAGCCCAGCAGACTGGCTCCCACAAGGAGGGCTGGTGAGAAGAAGGGCCATTCTGCCATCAACAAGGTGGGGACCAGGAAGTGCCTGTAAACATTCACAATGGCATCCAGGGAGTGGCCATCTTGAACAAATGTGCCCCTCGGGCACTTAAAGGGTCCAGTAATTTGCCATGTGAGAAAGGGGAAAACAGATGTGTACATCTACAAAGCTGGCCAGTCCAAAAGAAAAATGTCCAGAAAATGTACTGATGATGAAGTTTCACCAAACAAGCGTGGTCTGTTGGTTACCTACGTACCTGTCTTCTCTTTCAAAAACCTACAGACAGTCGATGTAGATGAGAGCTGACCACTGACAATCAAATGAAGTTATAAAACCGCCACACATGCACACAAAGATGAGTGCATCACATTCCAGGTGTGTAAACGCACCTCATCATTAGGGAACCTACTATTTTAACTAATTACACTACTAGGTCCAAGAGGAAAAATTATTCAATGTACTTGGTAGATACTCAAAGAATATTTGATAGAATAAAACAATCTTAAAGACTCCCGATACAGAGAGAATTGGAAGAACATCTAAAATCAGTGCTTGATGTAATATTTAATAAAAGTATACAAATACTGAAGACAGTTCCAGTAAAGCTGGGAACAAGAAACACTGTCCAGTATTGTTACTCTTCAGCATTATTTCAAAGGCTTGGAAAAAGAGAAAGTTGTTATGGGCAAACGTCTGCTTAAACATGTATGTCTTAAAAACCGAGAGGTATCTTGGAAATCTTAGACCCAAATGGGCTCCTTGAGAACAATTTTCTTTAATGCGTTTTAATATTTTCTACAAACTGGCAAAAGCAAAAACTGTCCTACAATCCCTAAAAGCCCGGGAGAAAATATAAATTTAAAACAACCATACTCCTAATACCAGTAAAAGATAAAACAAACATAAAAGATCAGATGGCAGTTGGAAAAGCTCACTGCTGACATGTTTGTCCTGTTGGGCCATCTACTGTGAGCTGAAAACGACAGGGTCCGTTTCATCCGAGCATACAGAGGCAGTTTTCAGCAAACACAATGGCAGTGTGGTTCATAAAAGCATTTGCCATTTCCTGTGCCACGGCAACGCATAAAGCAGCGGTTCTCAAAGTCATCGCTCGGCCAGCAGCAGCACCACCACTGAGAACACACTGAGAATACAAATTCTTAGACCTCATTTCCTGACCCACTGAATTGGAAACTGCAGGTGGAAGCCGGTCCTCAGGGTTTGTCAACACCTCCGGGTGATTGTGACACCTGTTCACATTGGAATACCACCGATGTAAAGTCAGGGGCGGTGATGCAGCTGTCGGGCCAACCCGTAGAATGCTCGGGGCATTCATCAGTCTGGGACCGAGTCCTGGTGCATGAGCTGCCTGAGCTCTTTGCAACTCTGAGATAAAAAATACAGGCCTGAGGCCAAAAGCCCCTGGGCCAATTCATTTGTTTGTTGAGAGTCTTTGGGTTTGCCCCACCTTCCTGGAAACCCCGGTTGACCCCAGCAATAATCAACTGTAAACCCAGGAGGCTGGGGCCACCAACTGGCTTAGTGATTGCTTAATCCCCAGCACCCAGAATAGACCCAGTGCAAAGCACATAGCACCTGGTGCTAAGTAAGTTTCCATGAGTGGAAGAGTGAATGAATGAACTTCCTTTTGTGCCTGTACAGGGATGAGTAACAGTGGGCCCAGCAATAGTGGGTGGTCGATCTGGACCCAAGAGGACAGACTTCTGGTGATTTTGTGTTGCCCAGTGTGCTGGCATCAAAAAGTCAGACGTCAATGGGGCCCTTGAGATAAGAGTACCCTTGACAACATCCTTTCCCCAGAATGAGGGATGAGAAAAAACTTCAGAGGTCTCCACCACGTTCCGTGGCCCTGCGTCTTCTGCTCTAAAGGCCACAGGGTTGGCTATCTGCAGCTAAACATTGGGAGCTACCCAGACCTCCAGAAGAAGGTCTGGGCACCTGAGCTTTCTCCTCTGGGGCTCAGAACTGCCCAGGCCGTCACAGACAGGTGGTTCATCACTTACCTTTTTCAGTTTGGAGTTTTCTTGAACGGCACAGATTTCATTACTGCTTAAAGGCTTTCTGCAATCGCTGCGGGCAATTTCTACATCAATAAGGTATTCCAGACGATTTGTGACCTGTCAGTTAGCAATTGTGCGATTTTATTTTAAAAAGTTGTATTTTCTTTTAAAGGTTTAGCAAAAAAAAAAAAAAAAAATCACTTTCACTCGTGTCCTTGCCACTTTCTTTCCTCCCCCACCCCAGACAGAGCATTAGAAGAAGGCTGGGAAGCCCACTGCCTGGGGTCCTGTGCACACCAAGGTCAGCCAGGACTCCGCAGCCTCCTGGAGCTGGAAGCTTGGGTAAAGGCTCCTCTCCAGTTTGTCACCTCCTTGAAGGCAAGAACTTCTCATGCCATTTCCTGTCCCCAAGCCCAGGGCATACTGCATGCTCAGTGAGGAGTGATAGGAGAAGAACCATCAGCTCTCCAGGGCCTGAGATGCTCAGGTTCACACAGGCCTGATCAGCTGACAGCCCCCTCAGCCACATTAGGCTCCAGTCCCTCAGATTCCTGTGAAACCTCCCATCCTCTGGGGTTTCCCCACCCAAAACCCTCCCATCAGCTCAGACACAGTCCATAAGGAGCCATGAAGGCATGAGTTTGCCTGCCTTGTTCTCTGCTGAGTCTTTAGTGAGTGAAACAGCAGCAGGTTTATAGCAGGACATCAGTATTTGCTGAATTCATTAGTGATTAAATGCAATCAAGGCTCCTTATGATGTCCATTTAAATCTGTTTTCATCTGGCATTAAAGGATTACAACAGGAGATGAAGGAGTGTCTGCTGGTTGGGCTCAGGTTCACCCAGACTCACCTTTCCTTATCAGACCTTTTCTCATGGCTAGCGCTCCCTTTGTCTCCCAACCTTAGCAAATAAATGAACATCTGAGCTGCAGTTTGGGGTTTAAATGAGTTAGTCTATGCAGAGGACTTAGAACAACAGCCAAAGCATTTGTAGAAAGCACTCTGTGTGTTCGCTGCCTTATTGACACTATGCAAGCGTTTATGCTCTCCAGCACTCACATATTGAGGGTTTTTGCATACTAGTATTTTTCTCCTATGCCCACTCTTTAACTGTGCCGCCATATGCAAATGTCCACCTATATGGAGAGAGCACCTTTACCTGCAGCTGGGCTTGCAGTGTCCTGACCACCAGGAAGATGTACTTGTCCTCGCTCTCCCTGTTGTATTCTTGCATGGCAAACCACAGACACTGCCTCACGTTGGCATCTGAGGCGTTGGTGGGTTGTAGTTTCCTCAGCACCCCCTTCTCATCCTTGTTGGGGTCTTTCCTGGCCACTAGGGCCAGGGGAATGGTGAGGAGAAGCAGGGAGAGCCACCGGCATCTAGGCATGGTCCTTCGGGCAAGAGGCACAGTCGAGTCTCCTTGTCTGTCCAGGGCTGGAGCTGCTGGCAGGATGTCGTGGTCGTGGCCACTGCTACGGGTTCAAGAACCTTCGTGCCACACGTTGGCTCCTCTTAGCGTAAGCCCAGCTGGATTCAAGACAGGGCCGTTAGGGTCACTCTTTGAGGTTAGCCCTCTCTTTCTCCAAGGAAACCCACCTAGGAATGCCAGTTAAGGAGTCTGTCTACCAGCCCCCCTTCCTTATCCTGAGAGCTCCCCTCCCCGTAGGCCCCGAAGTGTCTGTGCCTACCCCTGTGCCAGTCTTGTTATCTGCTTCTCAGTCCTGTATGGTGTGACCACGTAAGCTCTGGCTGCCCCAGAGGCCTTGTGGCCTCAGCCCTCGGTGGACTCTCAGCCTGCTCTGCCTGCAGCTCCCTCTTACTCCCTGTGGAGTTGGGTGCTGACCCGAGCCGTGGTTCTCGTGGGTCTCCGGCACGCTCAGTTCATGCCTGTGGCCCAGTCAAGGGGCTCTGGGGGCTCTGGTCTCCAGTCTCCCTTGCCCTTCTGATTCCACGCCCTGCAGGGAGGTTACGCTTTGTGATGTAATCCAGCACCTGTGTCCTGCCCCAGTGAGGACACCTCCCACTGTGAGGACACTTCCCACTTGCCAACCTCTGGTCTTTGGTCCAAGCAGATCTCACAGGCCCACAGACGGCAGGCAAATGCCTCCTGCTCTGTCCTCAGAGTTGGGGGGGCGGGGCCTGTGATGGTTAATACTGTCAACTTGATTGGATTGAAGGACACAAAGTATTGATCCTGGGTGTGTCTGTAAGGGTGTTGCCAAAAGAGATTGACATTTGAGTCAGTGGGCTGGGGAAGGCAGATCTCCCCTTAATCTGGTGGGCATAATCTAATCAACTGCCAGCAAATATAAAGCAGGCAGAAAAATGTGAAAAGGAGAGACAGGCCTAGGCTCTCAGCCTGCATCTTTCTCCTGTGCTGGATGCTTCCTGCCCTCGAACATCGGACTCCAAGTTCTTCAGTTTTGGGACTCCAACTGGCTCCCTTTGCTCCTCAGCTTGGCAGATAGCCTATTGTGGGAACTTGTGATCGTGAAAGTGAATACTTATAAACTCCCCTTTATATATAAATTATGTACATATATATATATATATAGATGAGTTTATTAAGTTAATAATCATTATATGTAAATTTTATATAAAGGGGGGTTTATTAAGTATTAACTTATGCTATATATACATACTAATTCTGTCCCTCTAAAAGAACCCTGACTAATACAGGGCCCCTCTGGTGTCTTCTGCCCATCTGTGCCAATGGCCCTGGTTTCCTGAATGCCTGGCTGCTGAACTTCCTTGGCTTGAGCCAACAGTACCCCCCTGCCCTGTCCTACCAGGGTAAGGGTCACATGGCTCACTCTGATGCCCAGGCCTGGCCCTCAGTGGGAGGAGGGGGTCATGCACCTGTTTAGCTCTCAAAGCTTCTGTTTTTCTGTGAAAATCCCAAACCAGCATCCAAAAAATTCCTGATAAGGCAGAGAGGCGAGCATTCTTCCCAGGCTATGGGTTCCATGAGGAGGGGCAAGGTACAGGAAACACATATGGGCAGGAATCTGTCAGGCAGGTGCAAAGCATTGCAGAGTGTGAATGCATTATGCTGTATTTAAACTTTCTCCCCATAGGTGGATTCCTCGGTTGTTATTTTCATCTGTTATAAACAGTATTGCAGTGAACAATCCCTTTCCAATATCTTCATGATGTTACACAAGTATTTCTGTACAATAAAAGACTAGATCAGAAATTGATGCAAAGCTTTATGCAAATCGAGCTTTATTATTTATTGCCAAAATGTTCGTCACTTAGTAATTATGTATTCATGATTTTCAAATCCTGCTGCATGCTAAAAATACTGAAGGAGTTTTGAAACACCAGGGCACACCTCATTGACAAAATCAGAATCTCTGGAAGAGGGTCCAGGAAGTCAGCTGTTTTTAAAGTTCCCCAGGGGTTCCAATCTGCAGCCAAGTTTGAAAACCACGGTTGGGTATCTGCGCTTTCTGATATTAAAGTGCACATGAACCACCTGGGACTCGTTAAAATGCAGGTGCTGAGTTTGTGGGTCTGAGGCAAGGCCTAGATCCTGCATTTCTAGCCATCTCCCCGTGTGATCCAAATGCTGCCGATACTCGGAACCTAGTTTGATTAGAGAAGTATTGACCTGTGACAATCCCTGCTTCTTCATGTCTTCGCCTTCAGCCTCGCCTTCCTTTATGGGATAGGAGATGATTATGTTTCATTGATTTGACTTGCATTATTTGTATTATTGGTCAAGGTTAACCATGTTTTCATAGTGACCCATTGAGTCTGGGATCACGTGATCTGGGTCCCAGGATGCATTTAGAGCAGACTCCTTTGGTGAGGCCAGCTGTGACACCTTGAAGTGAAGCCAAGCTTCCTGGACCAGCCAAGGGGCAGTCAGCCTGTAGACCTATGTGCCTGAAAATGAAGGCTCACTGTGGTTAGCTACAGGAGAGGTGGTTTGTTATGCAGCACTTCTGGGTCAACAGCTGACTGATACACACACATTCACTGAACCAAAGCAGTATTTCTAGGTTTCAGACTTTGGAAAAGTATGTGGTGGTGGTTGATAACTTGATAAAATATCCAAATAAATTTTTACTTCCTACTGATTCAGGCCACCTAATGACAGAGCCCAATTCAGAGAAATTTCTCCAGGACACGAGATGGACTTGTGGATTCTGGATGATCTTGGATATTGACATATTATTCAAAAATCCACTCATTTGAGTTCATCATATAACTAACAAGAGTGGCAGGCACAAAATTTACCAACCCTACCAAAGCTCCTTACATAGCTCATGACGGCCGGACACTACCAGCTCGTGAAATCTGCAATAGGGTCATGTTTTTTAATTTCTGAGAGAGCAGGAACTAAAGAACACAGGCCATAGACAAAATACACAACTGCAGTAAACACAACTTCTAAGGTATTGGAGTACCTTAAAGAACCATTTCACAGCCATAGCCCCAAGTGCCAACCACCTGAAGACTTCATGTATTTCTTCATGTATACTTCATGTATTCAGGCCAAAATTTTCTTTTGCCCTACAGATAGGGGTAATGCCTGGTCCCTAAGAGAAATGCAAAATGAAGCCAGTGGGATTTTGTGTGGATCGAGGTAGAAAACAACTGGCAAATTTGAAAAAGAGCAGGACACCCGGCCTTTCTCTTGGAATTGAAAGTAAAGGTGCTTCCATCAGCAAGCAATGCTGACCAGAGCTCAGGTAGGGTGTGGCTGTACTTGTCCAGAACAGTGAGGTCCATGAACAGGAGCTCCACCCATCCCAGCCTCAGTGCTCTCAAAGCCAAGGGCCAGCAATGGATTTGTTTGGCTAACCATGCAGACACACCCTTGGTAATATAAATGTGCCCTATCAAATCGTGGAGGGATGTCACACACAAATCCTGCACACAGGCTGGTCAAAGACCAAAGCTGTCCCATCTTTTTGCCACGACAGATGGAGCCACCCAAAGCTGTTTCTGAAAATTCTGTCTCATAAATGACAAATTCGTGGTAATGAGCCAACCAGGAAAAAAGGGCAGACTTCTAACCAAGAAATATTCAGATCACCCCCAAAACCAAGGATGGAGGCGGAAAGACCCCCTAGCCCTTTCATTCCAAAAGACTCCTCCAGAAACTGCTGAACTGTCTCTTTGCTCAACGCATGCGCCCCACCACACCATCCCCTCATCTTTCTACCCCTCCAAGGCTGTTCCCCCACCAAGACCCCAGCAGAGAGATGGGTGTCTGTCACCATAGTGCTTCTCCCAGGGGCAGTGAGTGGTACTGGCAGCCATGAAGCCCTGGCTGGGTCCCAGATGGGTAACACAGGCATCAGGAGCAGGTGGGGAATGGGGACTGGAACTGCCATCTTCTAAGCTCTGGAGAAGACATCTGAGCCCTGGAGAAGACATCGCTGTGCTTCATGCAGCCCTCAGGGTCCACAGAGAGCAGAGCTTCCTGTCAGCTTCAGTGACCTCCTCTGACCCCTGGGTCTGGGCCTGGCCCCTCTGCTGAAGGGCCACCCATGGTAAGCCTGTCCCTGAGATGGAAACAGAGGTGACACGTGTGGCTAACAAAATGTGCTACATTCCTTTTGAGTGATGAATGAAAGCATAGGGAAACTGGAGAAGAAAGAAAGGCAGGAAGGCAGGAAGGAAGGAAAGAAGAGAGGAAAGGAGGGAGGATATGGAGGAAAGGAGAAAGGGAGGAAAGGAGGAAGGGAAGGAAGGAGGAAGGGAGGGATGGAGGAAGGGAGGGATGGAGGAAGGGAGGGAAGGAGGAAGGGAGGGATGGAGGAAGGGAGAGAGGGAGGGAAGCAGGAAGGGAAGGAAGGAGGAAGGGAGGGATGGAGGAAGGGAGGGATGGAGGAAGGGAAGGAAGCAGGAAGGGAGGGATGGAGGAAGGGACAGAGGGAGGGAAGGAGGAAGAGAAGGAGGAAGGGAATAGAAGAATGGATGGATGGATGATGAGCGCACAAACCAAGCGGTGGGACCCCTATAGGAACTGCCTCAAATCAATCAGAAAGTTTGATTTATTTAACACTCTGCATCTGCAACCAAAGTAACAACGATGATAATAAATTTTCCATTGCTCATCAATGGCTTATAAACAATACAGGAGAGTGAAAACTCCTCAGGGATGCAGAAAGTTCTCTGAAATGCCTTTAATTCTGCCGGGCTGCACAGATCTGGGACTACAGACTGTCACACTCTAGACGAAGAGGGGGCTTCTGCTGTGAAAATCCATGGGCTCTGTCACCACCTTCTCTCCCCACAGGTGCTGTTCAGGAGGGTAAACTGGGAAAACCACCATTGAACATCTACTATAAAAGTGCAGCGCACCTGAAAAAGAAATTGTAACATACAAATTACAAAATGTAAGCATTGAGAGAATCTGGCATGCAATAGGGGGTCAAGATGTATTAAAAACTACAGATGTAAGCAAATAAAAAGCAAAAACAGTCACCCAGGAACAGGGCTTGAAATGCCCAAGGCTCCAGCAGGACAAGGGGCGCACGTGGCTGAATCCTCCCACATGAGCCTGGGGATTTCTGAAGGGATGCCTGTTTGGGCCATCACCTGACCCCTGAAGCATCCTGTCCACTCACAGCCTCCACAGAGCACATGAGGATGGATGAGGCGCCCCCACCCTGTGTGTTCTGAGGGAGACCATGGCCTTACCAAAGGGATGGCCCTACCAGTCACTCACCAACTGAACAGCAGCAGCAAACCCACCCCAAGGGGAGGGTGCCCCTGAGGTTGGAGGTGGGAGGGTGAGATCAGCCCCACTGATCCCGTAACTCTGATTCAGGGCATCCCCAAGCTCCAACATCCCATGGATCACATATGGGTCCTGGGAGGATGGTGTCAGAACTCAGACTGACCGGGACACGTCCTTACTACACAGGAACTAGAGGGATAGGTGGGGTGATCAGAGAAGGTAGGCAGTCCTCCAATCCCCAAGAACATGAGCAAAAAAGAGGGAGGACCACGGGGAGAACACCATCTGCCTGGATCTCGAGGGTCTCAGGAAGGTACAGGGCTGGGACCCAGAGTGAGGACTCCCTCCAGAGAGATAGGCCCTATGGAATCTGCAAGTGCCTGTGTCCAGTCAGCTGGGCTGTGGGCAGAGGGCTCTCCCTGGCATTGAGGGCCAGGCTCTGTCAAATGCCTGCCTTCTGCCTTCACTGAAGGAGCCCTGACTCCAGGTGGGAGAGGGTCAGGGACTGTCATTCTGCCCAGGATCACCCTGGATGCCTTTCCTAAGCCTCCTCCCAAAGGCCTGCCTTGACATTTTTCATTCCTGAGAGATTCATGATTTGGATTGATTTTATTCTCAAACCATTTTCTCTTCTGTTCCTTCTTGCAATGGGCAATTGTCAATGTCTTCATCGTGTTTCTTACAAACGGTACGCCCCATCGTCAAGTCCATTAAATATGTCCATGTCCATGACTGTCAAGAAGAAATTGAAGACACTTATATGAAATACTCTTTTTGGAATGAGAAAAATAGAATCAAACAGAAAAGTTGCCAGAAAAGGTGAATGTTAACATTCATGCTAATAAAGATATACATATCATGCGCAATCTTTCTTCTCTTATTTCTTATTTCAAGTTTCTTTTTTACAATTTTTCTATTAATTCTCCATTTTTCTACAAAAAAAAAATATCCATTCGCTACACCAAAAGCATGCGTTAGAGTCTTTCTGCAGTACTCTTCCTGATGTCCGGTACCTGGCAGTCACATTGACAGGGGGATGAATACACAGAGTGTGGACCATCACATGATTGAATCCTACACAGCAGTGCAGGCCGTGTACACAGAATGGCACTATCCCCTGGAAGACAGATCTGGGCAGTAACCTGGGGTGGGGACTCCTGGGGGCTGCAATGTTGTGTCCTTTATGTGAGTGAAGACTGCATGAAAGTGTTTATTTTGCAAATATTAATTGAAGTAAATATAAAGTTTGCTGTTCTGTGTGTTTATTAGGATGCTATAAAAAGTTATTAAAAGTTATGGTCATTTCTGTAAACAGAAGTTCATGAAACTCAGGAAACATCCAGAGAGAGAGAAATCAAATCCAACCAGGAAATCTTCCCAGGCTGGAACTCACATCTCTCCTGAAATTTGTCTAGGAAGCAGACATCCCTTGGGGATAGCAATCCATGCAAATGACAGTGATACCCACTCATGCCCCAACATACATGACCTACACACTCACACACTTATGCTCCAACACATCAGCACACTCATGCACACTCATGCCCCAACATACACCAACACACTCACACACACTCATGCCCCAACACACACCAACAACACACACACACACTCATGCCCCAACACACACCAACACACATGCACTCGTGCCCAACACACAACACACACACTCACGCCCCAACACACATCAACAACACACATACACTCATGCCTCAACACACACCAACACACACACACTCATGCACCAACACACACCAACACACACTATTCCCCAACACACACCAACACACATACATTCATGCCCTAACACACAACACACACACTCGTGCCCCAACACACTCACACACACTCATGTCCCAACGCATACCAACAACACATTCACATGCACTCATGCTCCAACATACTCACTCACACACTTATATGCCAACACAACACACACACACTTATGCCCCAACACACACCAACACATTCACACATTCATGTCCCAACATATCAACTCCACACTCACACTCATTTATGCTTCAGCACACACCAATACACACTCACATACACATTCATGTCCCAACACACAACACACTCACACACTCATGCCTCAACACATTGATACACACTCATGCCAACACACCAACACACACACACACATGCGCTGACACCAACACACTCACATGCTCATGCCCAACAAACACCAACTACACATTCACACACACACTCATGTCACAACATACCAACACATACACACAGGCTCACGCCCTAACACACCAACTACACATTCACATCTATGCCCTAACACATACACTTGTGCCCAATCACAAACCAACACGCTCACACTCATGTCCTGTTTTCAGGGGCTACCCTCATAAAGAAGCAAAATAGAAAGCTGAAGCTCTCCTAATGACACTTTACATTTAAATTATATGATTATATGCATATTTTCAGGATTTAGAAAGCGGTTGCCCTTTCCTGCAGACCAAGAATCCACCCAGCCCTGGTCTGGCGCCGAGGAACTCAGGGTTCATGGGGAGAGACAGTAGCCACTCACCTTGCGCTGGCTCCGGTGGACCCCCAGAAACTTGTAGGCAAACTCATCCTCCTGGTCCTCATTGAACTGAAACACAGCATACTCCACAGCACTGGGGAAATAATCCAAGTTCTTATCAGTGTCTACAAATTTGCAGCTGCAGACATGTGTTCCCAGCACAATGAACCCCACAAGCAGGGGCACCTTCCACCACATGGCTGTCTTGAGTGTTGGCACCGGAGGCTGGGAGCGCTCGGTGGAGGGGAGGTCACCACTGCTGCCTGTGACGTCCTTCCCAGTTCTGACCCCATGCAGCACTGCGCAACAGGGGCCCTGAGCCGCGGAGCCTCCCTTTGACTGGTCCCTCTGTCCAGTGCCTCTTTCCACTCCCCCACAGTGTTCCTCCCATCGTCTCCAAACAAGGCCAGCAGGAGGCCACATAGCCTTGGACACACAGGTATGCATGCAACACACATGCCTGCACGTTTTCAGGGCCACCTCCTCTGGCCCCAGCCCAGCCCTGACACGACTGGGGTGGACGTCTCCAGCTCACCTGCTTTGCCTTCACGGGGCTGCATCCCGCGACTGACAAAGTGATGGGAATGCTTAGGAATGATAATGAGCAGAGTCCTGAGCAGCTGGGGGAAGAGCCGTGTCTGCCTGTGACCCTGGCTGTATAGTCCATGACCTCAGGGAGCTATGGGGGGTTACAGAGGGAGGGGCCAGTGTTGGGGGCTGGGCCATCCTCTCCACCCTCTCTGGCACCTGCTGGCCAGCTTGCCAGGTCCCCCTCCTGCCCTGTGGCCTTGCAACACCTGCTCTCAGCAGGGGCCAGAGAGAAGCCAAGTCTAAGGCCAGGGCCCTGCTAGGATGGGAGTGGAAGGCAACCGTGACGATGAGAAGGGGTCAGGAGCTGGGAAGAAGCCCTGGGGGGCACTAGACAGCTCGTGTTCTCAGCCAGCTCTGCCTCTTTGTAGTTCCCTAGGCCCGTGCCCAGCCAGTGTCAGACTCCTCAGAGGAACTAACCTGAGCTCTGTCTGGCTTCTGGGGAAGCCACCGGGAGGTAAACAGAGCCAGGGGATGAGCGGGCTGGGAGGGTGTGGAGGTGCCTGCGCCAGGTCTGGATGCACTAATGTGCACAAGGGGACCGTGCTGGAGCAATGACCCTACCTTGCCTGTAGGGCATGTAGACTGATGATCACAAAAAATGTCTCAGAGCTTAGGCCACTGCCTTGGGGACCGGTAGTAAGGGCAGGACTAGGGCTGACACAGGAATAGATGGGAATGTGACCAGAACGGTGGGCACAGTTATGACCGTCTTCTTGCAGCTTCTCGATGGGAGGAGACCCAGAGGCTCAGGTGCACTTCCACACAGGACTGGCCTGAAAGTGGCTGGCAGGTGAGGGCCTGAGGAGCACAGTGGCCCCCTCGGATGGATCACCCTCAAAGTGTGCCTGAGCCCCCGTGTGTCCTCCCGACAGAGAAGCTGCAGCTCCCAGTTCTTGTTCATCTTCGCCATAGCTGCCAGCAGTCTGATTAAAATGTATCGTTGTTGTGTTCAGACGTCAGCAGGGCCCGTCCTGAGGCCCCTCCTCACTGCTGGTGTGGATTGCGATTGCCTTCTCCAGTTCCAGCCCTCCCTTGCCCAGGGTTAGAGGTTTTATTAGATCTTCAAAAAATTAACTGTTGGGTTTCTCGATCCTTGCTGTCTATCTTTGCTTTCTCTTTCACCCAACTATGCCTTTTTGCAATGACTTTCTTCTCTCTTTTTCCCCCAGTTCAATTTGCAATTCCCTGATTCTTGAGCTCGAAGGGGCGTTGCTGGCCTGCTCAGTCTCTAGCGTGCACATTTCTAGATCAGGAGGTGACCCTCAGAGCTTGGCATCAGCAGCATCCTGTACGTTTATCACTCAGGTTTCAGCTCCAGTGTTTTAAAAGTACAGCAATCCCCAGTCTGCAATGGGATTACTTCTTTAGCCCGTGTGTTACTTAGAGGTGCGTAGCCAAGTTTTCAAACATTTCTGCCCTAATTTCTACCTAAATTTCACTGAGAATATATTCTATGTGGTTGAAATTCATTAAGAATACGTTCAATTGGAATAAATTGTTCTATCCGCTCAAAAAAGTGAATGTTCTCTAGTTATTGGATGATATTCTACATAACAGAAGATCAAATACGCTTAGTGAGCTCTTAAATTTTTTGAGCCTCTTCTGAGTTTTACTTGGTGGGTTCTGTCAATTCTTAAGAGAGGTGCCTGAAACTCTCCCATGAGGATGATGGCATTGCTGGGTTTCCTTGTAGCCTTGGCGTGTGTTACTTTATATATTTTTAGGCTGTGATAAGAGTGGGCACCACAGATAGAACTGTTGTAACTTCAATAATCAAGCAAGGCTGCGCCCTTTAGCTCCCCAAGGCCATGTTTCTAATTTCGTAGAACCAGCAGAAAGAGAGGCTGCAGTCAGAATTGGTCACCCCTATTTTCACCAAGGTGCCCAACTAGAGGCTCATGAGAATCATCAAAGGAAACTCTCAAATAACCCAGCATCTGAGCCTGAATGCTAAAGAGTGTGGCATGAACACTGAAAGCCACCTGGTGCACTTAAGTGCATCTGAGCTCAAATTATAACTTTAAATTGAAAAAAGAGCAGGATACTAGGCCTTCCTTGTGAACTGAGAATTGACGGTAAAGGTGCTTCCGCTAGCGAGCAATGCGAACCAGAACCCACTGCACTCGTCCAGAACGGCAGGCATGAGGTCACGTACAAGGGCTCTACCCCTCACAGCCTGAGTGCTCTCAGAGCCAAGGGCCAGCAATAGATTGGCCTTGCTGGCCACACAGACACATCCTTGGTAATATAAATATGCCCTCTCAAATTGTGAGGGGATGTTACAAATTCTGTACACAGGTTGATCGAAGGACCAAAGCAGCCCCATCTTTTTACCATGACAGATGGAGCTGCCCAGGGCTGGTTCTGAAACTTCTGTTCCATCAACTCTTATGGGAAATTCATGGGAACGAGCCAGCCAGGAAAAAGGCAGACTTCTTACCAAGAAATATTCAAATCAAAGTCCCCAAAAACCCATGATGGAGGAGGAAAGACTCCCCAACATGTCAGGTCTGAAAGATTCCTCCAGAGGGCTTTGCATTGCCTTGCATTTCTGGCCCCCCCTGTAACCCTTCCCCCAGACCCTTATCTCCCTGCCCCTCCAAGGCTGCTTGCTCCCTGCCAAGACTCCAGTGGAGAGACCTGCTCATCAGGATGGGTGTCTGTCACCACGGTGTCCCTCCCAGGGGAAGTGAGTGGTGCTGACAGGTATGAAGGCCCGGCTGAGTCCCAGCTGGGGAACATATGCACCAGACATGGCATGGGGCACATGGGGACTGGAGGTGCCATCTTCTGAGCCATCACCTGAGCACTAAAGAGGACATCCTTGTCATTCATGCAGCCCTCTGTGTCCACAAAGGGCAGAGCCTCCTGTCAGCTTCAGTGACCTTCTCTGACCCCTGGGCCTGGGCTTGGCCCCTCTGCAAAAGAGCCACCCACTGTGAGTCTGTCCCTGAGACGGAAACAGAAGGATCATGTGTGGTTAACAAAATTTTCGGCATTTTTTTTGAGTAGATGGATGTTGTCATAGAGAAATGGAAAGGTGAATGAATGAATGAATGAGTGGATGAATAAATGAAGGAATGGATGGATGGATGGAGGGATGAGCACACCAACCAACCAGTGGGGCTCCTACATGAACTGCCTCAAATCAGCTGGGGAGCTTTGTTTATTCAACACTCTGCGCCTGCAGCCAAGGTAATGGTGATAATAAACTCTCCCTTGCTTGTCACTGCCAGCAACATCCACGGCAAATGAATAATAGGAAAGAGTGCAAAGCTGTTTACAGACTCAGCAAGTGCTAAGATGCCTTCAATTCTGCTAGTGCAGCATAGGCCTAGAACTACAGACTGCCACACGCTAGAGGAAAGGAAGACTTCTGCCGCGGAAAACCAGGAGCTCTGTCACCGCCTGTTTCTGCATTACTGGTGCTGTTCAGGAGGCTGAAATGGGAAAACCAAGGTCTGGCATCCATGACAAAAGTGCAGTGTACCTGAAAAAAGTAATTATAACACACAAGTTAGAAAAATGCAATGCACTGAGAGCATTTAGCATGTAGTAGGGGGTCAATATGTATTAAAAACAATGAAAAATGAAAAACAAAAACAGTCACCCAGGAACAGGCTTCAAATGCCCAAGCCTCCACCAGTACAAGGGGCACAGGTGGCCAAATGCTCCAGCCTGAGCCTGGGGATCCTGAAAGGACGCCTGGTTGGGCCATCACCTGACCCCTGATGCATCCTGTCCCCTCACAATCTCCCTCGCACACATGATGCTGGATGAACTGCTCCCACCCTGTGTGTTCTGGGGGAGAGAGAGGACTTCTCAAGGGATGGTCCCTCTGGGCAACCACCAACTGAGCACAGTGGTTGACAACAAGGCTGCAGGTGGAAGGGGGAGATCAGCCTTGTGCCCCTGTTATGCTGATTCAGGGCATCCTCAAGCTCTGAGCTCACACGGATCACATATGGGTCGTGGGAGGATGGTGTCAGAACTCAGACTGACCGGGACACATCCTTACCACACAGGAACTAGAGGGACAGATTGGGTGATGAAAGAAACTAGACAGTCCTCCAATCCGCAAGAACATGAGCAAAGAAGAGTGAGGACCACAGGGAGAACACCATCTGCCTGGATCTCGAGGGTCTCAGGAAGCAAAGTGAGGACTTCATCCAGGGACAGAGGCCATGTGGAATCTGCAGGTGCCTGCTCTGTCCAGCCAGCCTGGCTGTGAGCACAAGGCTCTCTCTGGCATTGAGGCCAGGCTCTGTTTGCTTACATGCCCACCTTCTGCCTTCACGGAAGGAGCCCTGACTCCAGGTGGGAAAGGGGGTCAAGGACCCTCATTCTGCCCAGGAGCACCTCTGATGACCTTTCTAAGCCTCCTCCCAAAGGCCTACCTTGATGTTATTTTCCATTTTTGAGAGATTCACAATGCTTTGGGGTTGACTTTATTCTCAGACCTTTTCCTCTCCTGAGCCTTCTTGCAATGGGCAATTGTCAATGTCTTCATCGTATATTTTACAAATTGTGCGGCCCATCTCCAAGTCTATTAAAAATATCATTGTCCACATCTGTCAAGAAGAAATTATACAAACAGCTGCTAAGTATTTTGTTTTCATGAATTAGAAAAAAAAAAAAAAGGCAGAGAAACAAGTAGGAACGTGGATAAAAGACTGACATCATCATGTCATTCAAATAGGGCTAGACAGGGCATGTACAACCTCTCCGGAAGTCAATAGAAGAGAGTCCACTAAGTGCCCTTCAGATACACACTGGCCTCTTCCCAATGGCTCATACCTGACAGTCAGATTGACACAGCGATAAACATATAG